ATCCCGCCTTCTTTTCTAACATGTGTTCCTTCTGTTCCAGCCATACCTCCCGTTCCCCAGCACGACTCCAATATCCGCCCCCTCCTCAATTCCCAGCCTTGGGAAGAGCAAAAGAGCTCAAAGCCACTAGAAGACTGAGGTGACTGGGGCGTAAAGCACTTCCAGCACTCCAATCTAAATATTATGGAGGCAGATGGTAAACCCTGTGACTAACTTAACAGATCTTAACAAGCACCCCTTCCTCAGGTTCTTTTTTGTTGCCCACCTTAGGAGCATTGCTATAGGCCCTATACAAAGTTCCCAGCGGGGATGCCAGCCAGGGAAGATAGTCTTGGCTGGGTGATTGTCAGCCTCACTACTGTCGGAGCTGATGACAGAATGTTAGTCCCGCCCAGTCTACAAATATGCCAAGGGAGAGATGGACTCAGGCGGGGTTTTATCCCTGCCGGTGCTCCTCCTGGCTCCTGCACAGCTGTGGCGGCTCAGGCAGAGATGGTCCTCCTTGGGCTGGGGTCCGGAAACCGTCCTCTGAGTCCAAAACGCTGCTGCTCCACAGCTTGGGTGCCGGGGGAGAGATGGACTCAGGCAGGGTTTTATCACAGTCCTCCAAAGTCCTCCGGCTGGCTGGCTGGCTGGTTGGTGTTCCTGGGGTGGGGGTGGTGGAGTGACTTTTAAGGCCAGCCACTCCTGGCCACACCCCAATTACCTGCTCAGTTGCCTTCTACCCTGGTGTAATGTGGGAAGAAGGCTTTATCACAGTCCTCCAGAGTCCTCCGGACGGTACACTTATAAATAATGTATTGGGAGCACGTTTCACCTTTCCTAGGAATGTATTTCTTTCAGTACAGGGCAGACACAGCCTGGATTACAAGTCTTACTGAACACCACATATCAAAGAGTTTAAGAGATTCTCTTACAGCCTAGCAAGAGAGCTGTTAACATTTGTGTTCCTAGCTCTGAAACCACCTGAAAAGCCAAAGGAAAGCAATTAGAATCTCTTTTTTTTTGGCTTGCTAATGGAACTTAATTTTTTTTTTATTTCTTGGAATACCCACATAACCAAAAGGAGTAAGGGCCTGCCTGCATGAATTTCCTTCCAGTACCATCTGAACTGCGAACAGCCACATCTTGATAAAATGCAGGCTTGTGACTATCATTGTCATTTCCCCCTTTCCTATATGATCTTTGACATCTTTGTCGGATGAAGAAGCCAGTGGAGTTTCGCAAGCTTGCAACATGTATTTTATGCATTTTGGTTGGCTCAGTAAAGGTATCGTTTGTTATTGTACTTTGCTACATGGCTAACACAGCTACCTCTGGATACAGTTATGCCAAAAAAATAGGTCTAAACCAGGGGTCACCACACTTTTTGAGCTGGGGGCCGGTTCGCTGGCCCCCAGATCTTTGGAGGGCTGGAGGCCTGCGCGTGCATGCGCACTACTCGAGCGCCATTTTTTGTTCCAAAATGGCACCCGGAGTCATGCACATGTGCCTGGCATCGTGCGTGCATGCGCATGGCTCCAGGTGCCATTTTGGAACAAAAAATGGCGCCGGAGTAGTGCTCAAGCACATGCGATGCTGGGTGCCATTTTTTGTTCCAAAATGGTGCCCAGAGTCATGCGTATGCGCCCGTCATCGTGTGCGCATGTGCACTACTCAGGGTGCCATTTTGGAACACAAAACGGCACCGGAGTAATGTGCATGTGCACGCAACGCCGGGCACATGAGCATGACTCTGGACGCCATTTTGGAACACAAAATGGTGCTCGGCATCGCGTGCGCATGCGCACTACTCTGGTGCCGTTTTGTGTTCCAAAATGGTGCCTGAAGTCATGCGCATGCGTGCGTGACGCCAGGTGCCATTTTGGAACACAAAACGGCACCCTGCATCATGCGTGCGTGGCGGCGGTGGCTGCAGTGCCAGCAGGACCGGCCATGGGCCGGTTCAAAGGCCTCAACGGGCTGGGTTTGGCCCGGGGCCATAGTTTGGGGACCCCTGGTCTAAACGGAGACAGAATGATATAGCCGGCAAAGGCTCCCTGTAGTTCTTCAGACAGGAACCTCCTGTATCCCAACGCATCATTGTAAACCTCATAATAACTGGACAGACCTGTTTTGATGTCACTCTTATCAATTCATTCTTACAGCCAGCAAACCACAGTAGTGATTATTACAATGACTCATCTGTCTAGAAAGGAGGATCCAGAAAGAAAAGTCTAGACAGCTACTCCCTCTGAGCAATAGACCAGGAGATGAGCTATTTGAGGTTAGATATGAACAACCGTGAAGACCAGTTTATATATATCAGTTGATGGTTACTTGAATGAATGAATGAATGAATGGCTGTCCCATTTTCAGCCCACAAACTTGTGCTGACTACCAGAACTGAACAGAACTCAATGGAAAGAAACAAACTAAGCTTTCTTCATTTTAAATTCAACTTCAAAAGTCAGGGTGTTCTTGAGAGTAATTGTCAATATACTACAAATCATCAGGAGATATACCAGATCTACCTCCTGCACAGCACTATACTTAAATGCAGCCTGTGAGCATTACAAAGAAGAATAGTAGAATCAAGGCTTTCCAGTTTGCATCAGCAATCCCAAATCCTAAATTTTGCCTTGTGGAGATGGTAGAATCTCCTTCTCTGGGGGTACTGAAATCCAGCAAAGATGTTGGAGCTGCAATATCCCAGCAATTAAAAGAGGGTTGGGGGTCCACTAGATGACTTCCAAGAGCCACTGTGGTGTAGTGGTTACAGCTTTTGATGGGGACTCAGAAAATCTAGGTCCAAGTCTCCACTTTCCACAAAATTCATAGAGTGTCCTTGGACTAGCCTGATCTATTTAACACAGACTGTGAGGATAAAAGCGGAGGGAGGAGACCAGTGTATACTGCTGTAATTCTACTGGAGGAAAAGCAGGCTATAACTGTAACTAATAAAGAAAATGTCCCCTTACAACTCAGCGATTCAGTAATATTTTGGGGGCATCAAAGAAACAATATGTTGGCATATTGACAATCCCATGCAATTTAAATGATGCTGAGACATGAGTTTTCTGATTCACTCTACTACTCTCTTAAACGCTACAAACTATTCTTGGGTACACTTTTCAGTTCAGCAAAGGTTTTGACTTGGTTATCTCAACAGAAATGAAATGTGGAGAAATTGTCTGTTTAACATACACAAGAAAATCTAGTAGTGACCATTTTAACATTCTAAATATTTCTCAAGTATGAATCCCTGAAATCTGAAGGTGGAAAGCTCTAAATCATATTAACATTTTTTTTGACCTACCCAGCCTCTTGGCAATTTTCAATTATTCCAAGCTTCTTTCTGAGATGCATCACCAATTCTCCTTCCCATTCCCAAACCACCATTAATTGCAGCCTCAGCAGCTGTACAGGTCAGCACATGCTGTGCTGGGCACACAGCTAATTGTTTGCCTATATTATTACGTTTGCATTTGTGAAATATTATTCCCTTACACTGCAAGTAGACACAGGCTCCAAAATGCAGAAGTCGTCTTTTAAAATTAACTCATTGCTATGCTATTAGGACTGACCATATGCTAAGGCTGTGCCATAGCACAGAAAAGCTGGATTTAGATGCAATATTATTATCCTAATCAAGAAACAGAATGCATTACTATTTCAGATCAGTTAAAGGGGCTGCTAGATTCCTCTCTCCCTTCTTTTCCCCTTTTACTATTTCAAGTGTCCCTTCACAGTTGAGGACTAGAAGCTTAGCAAATTGTAGTTGTTGATGTTGTGTGCCTTAGTTGTTTCTGACTTATGGCAACCCTAAGGTGGGGTTTTCTTAGCACGATTTGTTCAGAGGAGGTTTGCCATTGCCATCTTCAGAAGCCGAGAGAGTATGACTTTCCCAAGGTCACCCAGTGGATTTCATGGCTGAGGTGGGAATCAAACCCTGGTCTCCAGTGTCATAGTCCAACGTTCAAACCACTATGCCATACTGGCTCAATAATACAAACAATAATTGTTGGTAAAATATGAGACTACAGAGGGAAAATGAGGATTCGTGACCACTGGTAGAAGCAAGCACAGAGAGATGTATGCATATCGAGTAAATCTGCAATATATCTAGATGACACTTTCCTCAGGATATATATATTTTAAAAGCTGCATGTATATAACCTTTCCATCTTGTTTAAAACTAGCACACATATTTTTTTTAAGTGAAAGAATTTCAAAAAGGGTGAGCCAAGTAAGAACAGTTTAAACACAGAGATGAGGTCCAGATGCCACTTCTGGATACTTTTCACTGTTGCTGGAGGATTGGGAGTGTGCTGAAGATGTGGATGCTCCCCCTTCACAATTTTTCTCTTTTCCAGCTCCTTTTCTAGATATGTTCCACCGTCACTTGTTAACATGTTCAAATCAGGCAAAATGTTAAGAATGAACCAGAGAGTAATGGTTTAAAGAGGGATTGCAAGCTATACTTCAGAGCCAATTCCTGGTTATCAGAAAATATAATCTGCCTGCATTTGAATCTCACAGCAGTATTTACGGAAGGGAGTAATATATGAAGTGTTTTTCCCCTGTCCTTCACATCATGCTTCAAGGACTGGAATTTGAAAGCCGAGCTGAGCCAAAGGGACTTCCCACTAAAAATAATGTTGGCGAGGACACCACATAAATGTTTATTTTAGCATTCTTTGAACCATGCAATTTGATTTCAACTTTTCAGATGTTTCCTCTAATTGCTGCATTTTAGTGTCATCACTGTGAGTACTATTTCTAAATGGGTTACATTTTTTCCAGGTTTCTAGTTTCTGAGAGCCAGTGTGCCATAGAGGTTTGAGTGCTGGGCTACCACTCTGGAGACCAGGGTTCGATTCCCAACTTGGCCATGAAACCCACTGGGTGACTTTGGGCAAATCACACTATGTCAGCTTTAGGGGAAGGCAATGGCAAACCTCCTCTGAAGAATCTTGCCCAGAAAACCCCATCTTAGGATTGCCACAAGTCAGAAACAAATTGAAGGCATACAACACACATAGACAGTTTCTCCCAGGTTACAAGAAAGAAGCCAGCTGACAAACATCTAGTTCAGTGAGAACCCTGCATGTTGTCTGGTTTGCATTTAGGCCAAGATGCAGCAAGAAAAATGGGACCAAGGAAGGGTCGGTATTCTGTCTTGGCTTGTTTCTTTCAGCTTTGCTCTGTATGTATGTATTATTTTTTCTCATTTCATTGTAATGTCTGTATTTATCTTATGTCTACTGCATTATCTTTTGTTTTATTTGGACTTATTTTTGTTTTGTATAGTGCTCTGTCCTTTCCACATTTTTGATGAGTTGGCTTTTGAGTGTGGAATGCACCATGTAAAATAAACCTTCTCTGTTACCACATATTGATCATGTTCAGATGTCACAAACCAAGGGGTATATAACTCTTGGCTCAGGGATCCTATGCTACCTTCTCAGAGCTTCATGTGATGTTGCTAAATCCCCCCTTCCCCTGTCAGAAGATTTTGAACAGATCATTATCTTGGTTACTATTGTGTGCTGTGTGCCTTTAAATCATTTCTGACTTATGGTGACCCTATCACACAATTTTCTTGGCAAGCTTCTTCAGAGGGGTTAGCCATTGTGATCCTCTGAGGCTAACAGTGTGACTTGCCAAGGGTCATCCAGTGGGTTTCCATGGCCAAGTGGGATTCGAACCCTGGTCCTGTTCTCCAGAGTCACAGTCCAACAGTCAAACTACACTATGCTGGCTCTCTCAGTACTACTAACAGTGAGGAAAAAGGGCCCCATACCAAGCTTATTGGGGAAAAGAATGGACAGGCAGCAAGAAAGAGGATCCCTGATAATTGCAATATTTTAATTCCATTTTAATTATCACTTTTGTACATTTTAATTCTATTTTTGTAAGTTTTTAATTGTAGATTTTTGGACTATAAGCCACTTTGGGTCCCAAATTTGGGAGAAAAGCGGGATACAAATTAATATAATGAATGAATGAATAAATAAATAATTAAATAAATATCACTGTGCTTGGCTCAAGCCAAAAACACACACAGGGCACAGCACTTAAAAAGTTTTGCACCTCTTATCTGGCATAGGCAGAAGTAACAGAGTGTCTCTGTCTTACACAATTCCATCATCTCTGGCACTGCTGCAGGAAGGGAATTCAAATATTTTTGTTTCCTACTTTACATTAGCCAGGTCCACAAAGCCACCCAAACCTGATAAATAGTGGCTAATCTCAATGATGGTTTGTGGGAATAATGGCTTGCTGCATTTACATTAATGTAAAATGTAAGCTGAAGCATTTGGTCTCCTCAAAACCACATTGGAAGAAAGAGCTGAAGAAATGGAAAGAAAATATATCACCACTCATTTTTTTTTAATTTCATGCCCCCTCTAACTAGAGAGAAATTTCAGTTAAAGCTAACAATAGATTAGAGCAATCTGCACATGAAGACCAAAGCTGATAACCAGGCAAGCTGTTTGAACGCTGAGTAAATAAAGAACAAAGAAAGTTCAGAGGAAAGTATAGATGAGTGATGGCGAACCTTTTAGGCCAGGGGTAGGCAACCTTTCCCCTTTAAGGGCCGAGGGACTTCAGCTCCCAGAAGCCTCAGCCATGTTGGCCAATAGTCCCATGTTGGCCAATAGCTCCTGGGATTCTGGGAGCTGAAGTCCTTCGGCCCTTAAAGGGGAAAGGTTGCCTACCCCTGTTTTAGCCACTGAGTGCCCAAACTAAATGGCCTTCCGGCACCGGATATCACACCATGCTGGAAGCGGGATTTCCAAGGGGAACAGGACTTCTGCCCTATGGCGGGGGGGACACGTCCAGGGTAGGACTTCTTCCTCCCTGGACCTTCCTGGACTTTCAGCTACATCTCCAGATGCAGCTGAAGGCCTGGGACAGCTGGGAAAAGGAGGAACAGGCGTGCACCTTTTCCTCCTCTTTCCCAGTCCACATGCGAGGGAAAATGGCTTCGCGTGCCATCTTTGGCACGCGTGCCATAGGTTCGCCAACACGGGCATCGACAAAGATTGTTGGTATTTCTGCAGGATGTGGGCCAAAGAAAAACAGGCTGCAGAGAATAATAAGGCATGTAAGGGACGCTGAAAGTGCAAAAGACATAGGCTAGGGACTGTGAAGGAGAAAAATTAAATATAATAGTGGCAATCAAGGAAATAAAAAGATCGGTTTGGAAGTTGCAGGGAGTGCAAGATGGAGCATTTAGGCTCTCAAGTAAGGCCTCCCAATGTGTACATATAAATCATGAGCTGAAAAATCAACACTTATTGCCAATTAGAAACTGAGTTAGATTCAAGATGGTATACTAAGCTATATACTGGGGTAGGCAACTACATGGGGCCAAGAGCCAATTCCCTTCCCCAACAGGCCCCACACCCACACAATAAGTCCAAACACCTCTGTTTTCCTCTGCAAAATGGCAACAGTAAATTAGACAATGGCTGTGTCTCTCCACTGCAGAAATAATCTGGTGTGACACCACTTTAACTGCCATAGCTCAATGCTATGGAATTCTGGGAAATGTAGTTATGGTCTGGAGCTACAACAAACTATCATTCCCAGATTGGGTGGCGGCAAGAGAGAGAGAGAGAGAGAGAAAGAGAGGCCGCGCCCCAGGGCCACACCCGCTCCCCCTCCCCCCTGGTAAGAGGCGCGTGGCGGCGGCAGCCAAGTGGCCAAGCGGCCAGAAGAACCGGGCCTATAAAGGGCCCCAACAGCCCTCACTTGGCGGCGGCGGCGGCAAGAGAGAGAGAGAGAGAGAGAGAGAGGCTGCGCTCCAGGGCCACACCTGCTCTTTCTTTGGGCAACGGTGGAAGAAAGGAGGGAAGCCAACACACCTGGGTCGGGCGAGCCCCTCCCCTCCTAACCAGTAGCTTTCTCCTGTGCCATAAAAGGTTCATTCAGTTTGTGGTTCCGTAGCCGGTTGAAGTACTTTAAGTACTTTAAGAGTTTTTATAATTATAGACTGATCAGGGATTTTACACAATATTATTATTATTATTATTGTGGTTTATTATTATTGATATTATCATTATTCTCTATATATTTTATACATTTTCTATATTTTTTATATTCTTATATATTTTAATATTTTTGATTGGGGTCCATTAATTCAGTTTGGTCAGTTACCGGGATAATTTACGAAAATATGGTAGTTAAGAATAGCATTAAGCGGAAAAGGAGGTCAGCTAATAAAGAAGTCCGTACTAATGTTAAAAGGATTAAGAAACCCACCAAGAATCTAGGAATGAGTTCAATGAACTCAAAATTATTGGAGGCCGCTACTACCTTGAAACAATTGAAAATGGAGGAGCTATTTTTGTTTAATGACAACAATAAGAAACATCATTTCTTTCTTTACAAGAAGAGTCTGTTCCAGATACTGACCCAGATATTGGTATTAATCATATCATTCCCAGATTTCCATAGCAATGAGCCATGGCAGTTAAAGTGGTGTCAAACCAGATTATTTCTGCAGTGCGGATGCAGCCAATGCTGCCATCTGAGAGAGATTGCAGGAGAAAACACAGGTGTTTGGCAGAGTACAGGGTCCTGAAGTGCTTTTAGGGCTGGGATATGTTAGTGTATTTTTTGCATGTTTATGGGGCAAAAACAGCCAAAAATCACACAAAATTGGGGGTCTTGGGGGGACTGGGGCCACTAAAGTGGGGTCCACAGGTCCCAGGCAGCTTGTGGGGTACAATGTGTCCATCCCTTCTCAATATACAGTTCAGGACCAGGTTATCCGAGAGATTGTCTTACTTCATATGGAGCACCCTATCTTTATGCTGTAAGGAGGTCCAAAGGAAGGGCGCTCTGCTTACAAGATGATGCATACATCTGAAGGAATAGGCTGAAGTCTACGAAAGCTCATGCTACCAATTTCTTTCTTTCTGTTAGTCTCAAAGGTGATACAAGATCCCTTTGCATGCTGATTTTCCAGACTAACACTTCTATATCTTAGAAGATCATGCTCTATGAGCCTTGTTTAGTTGTGAAGACCTGCTCTGTTAGGTCAACTACTACTGGAATGGCTTCCTTGTTGAAATTAGGCAGGCTCTCGTTGCTGGGTATTTCCACCAGCAACTGAAGTACTATTGGTTTGCTCAGGCGCTGTTGTGCTCAGTTTTTCTTGAGAGTTAATGTTATCAGTTACCCCTGGCTCTTAATGACGGACTGCATTGTTTTTACTTTTTTAGATTTTTTTAGCAATTGGCTTTTTTTTTTTTTTGTATTTGTTGCAAACTGCTTTGAATATAGTCAAACCTAGTCCTTGAGTTTCCACATTCATAAGGGTGGGGGTGGTGGGAATTATATCCAGATTATACCTGGTCCAATCCTTACACTAGGCACATCAACAGCTGGCCTCCCTCCTCTCCATTGTGCTGATAACATCACTTTTGATATGAGCACTCCACCCAGCCAGGTGCTTCATAGTCCTCCTACACAAAGGCCAGGTGTGTATAAACCACAGTTGCAAAAATACTCTCTCATCAGTGACTAGTATCAATTGTATTCTTCTAACAACTTCATGCGGGAGGTTATGTTGAGAAATGGTGACTGGTCCAAGGCCAACCAGTTGTTTTCATGGCTGCCTGAGGAGCTCAATGTAAAGGTTTCTCCAGTCCTATTTTAAGACTAAGACTGAAACTACGACAAAGAGGAGGTTAGCAATGCTACCTTTTTTGGACTACAGCTTCCAGAATCCTTAATGCGGCCATGCTGGCTGGGTGTTCTGGGAGCTGTCATCCAAAAGGCCACACTGCTTTTCCAAGCTGTTCTACAGGTTGAGTCTCCCTTATCCGAAATACTTGGGACCAGAAGTGGTTTGGATTTCTGATTTTTTCTTGGCTTT